AAATTTTTAAATAACGGAACTGAATTATTCTTTTCCGGGGTTTTAATTTTTGGTTGTCCAAAATTCTCCTAAAAACTCCAGAATTAACTTGGAATTCTGCTCTGAATTATCTTGAAATTGTTTTGAAATAAACCAGAAAACACTCTGCGTATTAATTACCGTTGATTTTTTTTTTAATTTCTTTGCAACCCCTTCTATAATTTAATTGGAAACCTTCTTAGAATTCCCTTGAGCCTATTCGGAGACTTTGATTTCTTTGAAAATCGTTTCAAAAATTTCTTTTAACTCTATTCAAAACAGCAGAAATCTTGCGAAATTTTATTTAGAAACCCCTTGGACTATTTTAAAGAAATTCAATTATCAGCAATTTTTTTGCAACAAATTTTGTTGAAGTTCTGTGATGAATTTTACGTACTAGGGTTGAAATTATTGCCCGAACATTCTTAGAACTCTGTTTCTTGTTGAATTCTGATCATAATTGTCTTGGAATTCTTCTTATAATTCACCTATCATTCCCTCAGAATCACGTAGGAATTTTCCGCAAAGTTTTGTTTTTCACGACTCCTTTTTAAATCTTCTAAAATTACCTAACAATTTAATTTAGAACTTGCTCCACAGAAATCCTTCCAAATTCATCTAACAATTTCTAGGGTTTTCATGTCAGAATAATTCTGGAAATCTGCTCAGAACTTTTCTTTCGAAAATTGTGTGGGAATCCTTCTCAATATTTGTTTGAAATTGTCACTTTGAATTCTTTTAAATTTTTCTAAAAATTCCAGGGTTTGTCCGCTAGATTCTATAGATTGTTATGTAATTTTTTATAACCCTTAAAATGCTTCCAAGTCTCAGAGCGTGACAATTATGACTCCACGACTCATAAGTATATATATATATGTATATATCATATTTTTTTTCTTCAAATTTGTGATCTTGAATTTTCTAAAATCTCACATTTATATTATTTTTACTCCAAATCTTGCATCACAAAGATTGTTATTAATCACAAATTTTGAAAAAAAAAGTTCTAGTTTCAGACTCTCACAAATTTTAAAGCCCCAGAATCTTGGGAATATTCTTAAATCACATTTATTATCCTTTCAGTAAACTCCTTTGAGCACGTTCCTAAAATTGCGTTCAATTCCGGGGTTTTTTAAAGATTTGAACCGGGAAAAAACCGGGAGTTTCAATTTGAAAATTCACTAGCCACCCTGACGGGGGAGGCGGTCCTGGCGTGCATCTCACGTTAATGCCCCCCAAGTCACGAATGATGTACAAAATGTTAAAGCGACAATAATAAAAAAAAACCCGAATTAATCCACCTATTGTGAGATCTGACCCTTCTTACCAATAAGAATTCCGGAAAAAGTGCTCATCAGGCATAACATTTGATAACGGCACAAAAGCATTTGTAAACAAACATTCTAAGGCCCTTTACACGCGAACTAAAGTACGCCCACGCAAACCAATACCACTTTCGGAAAGGTGATAGTTGCCCCTATGCGATGATGTTGTTGGTTTGCGTGGGCGTACTTTGGTTCGCGTGTAAAGGGCCTTAGAAGGTTTGTTTACAAATGATTTTGTGCCGTTATCAAATGTTATGCCTGATATGATGTGATAGATGAATTCTCATGCGATATGAGGTATCGCAGTCAGAAACTAGTCGCTTACCCGCGGGTTCCGAAACATGGCCGGAGTGTGGTGTTATGCACTCCAAATGACTATCATTGATCACGACATATTTCCTAAAATCCGTATTTGTTTATTTTATTTGTTGATTTGTTTATTTCTTATGTTTGCATCAACAGACTAGGAAGAGTCCCAATGATGTGTTGTAAAAAAAGTTTAGATTATACAGACTACATATACTACAGCTACAAACGAAAATAACTAGGAAAGCATTGTCAAGTTACTAAAAATGTATAAGTCTTAAATTTTACACTTAGCTGTTGGGCGTCAAGCGCCTTCGGTCAGCAAAAAAGGCAGAGAATCTTCGGCGAAGCATATTCCGTGTCAAGTGGAATTCGAACATCGACGCTACTCGGTTGATCACTCGCTGCAAGCCGTAAATAGCGCTCCCTAAGCTATAATTAGTTCGAAGAAGTGGAAGTCTCAGCATAAGACTGTTGCGTAGTGATCGAAGTTGAACATTAATGTTCACTTGTTGTAGAATTGCTTCGCAGTCGATTCTTCCTTTCAGAGTATCGGCGACGGTTAATGCTCTAAAAAACATCTCTTCGGATACGTAAGGGCTCGACATTGATCAATTGGCAGCGATTCTCGTAGCTTGGAAGACGAAGTGGGTATCTCCAAGGCAGCTTAGGGAGCGCGAAGCGAAGAAAACGTCGTTGAACAGATTCAATTCGCTCGGCCCCATTATTGTTGTTCGGGCTCCAGACTGCAGAGCAGTATTCCAACGTAGATCGTACGAGAGAGCAATAGAGCGATTTCAAGCAGTAAATGTCTGTGAACTTCTTATTAATCTTGAAGACAAAGCCAAGAGTTCTGGACGCTTTGTCGATGACATACGATATATGGTGTGAGTATGTCAGCTTTGAGTCTAGAAAAACGCCTAAGTCTTTCACGCAATGCACTCGTTCGATAGTCGTGCCTAGTAGTTTGTAGTTGAAAATAATCGGTTGTTTCTTGCGTGAGAAAGTAATAACTGTACACTGAAGACCAGTCGGTTTAGACTACACCAGTCAGCAAAGATGTCAATCTGATTTTGGAGAGAACGGCAGTCGGCGAGTGAGCGGATGTGCAGGAAAACTTTCAGATCGTCTGCAAACGATAATCGTGGCCCTGTGGTAACATGGTGAACGTCGTCGAAGTAAAGGAGAAATACCAATGGTCCCAGATGGCTACCCTGAGGTATACCGGACTTTGCGCAGAAGCTTGCTGAGCGACAAGTACCCAAAGTTACTGTCAATTGACGCTCCGTTAGGTATGAACGAAACCATCTCAAAAGATTTCCATCGATCCCTAGCCTATCAAGCTTAGCGATCGCAATTTCGTGGTTCAGCTTATCGAAGGCTGCCGTAAGATCTGTGTAAATAACGTCCGTTTGGGTCCCAGCAATCAAACTGTCTGTGATGTAAGACGTTAGGCACAGCAGGTTCGTAGTTGTGGAACGCCCAGTTATGAATCCGTGTTGATCTATACTTAGATATTGCTTGAAATGCGCATTTAGGGACTCTAAGACAACCAATTCAAAAAGTTTTGATACAGCACTCAGCGACGTGATTCCCCGGTAGTTGTTTACGTCGCGTTTGCTTCCCTTTTTATGAACAGGAAACATATACGCAGTCTTCCAGCAAGACGGAAAGATGCCGCTGGAAAGAGAGAGTGGATCTAAAATACAAGTGTTGTTCTTTTTTAATAATAATCGACGGAACACCATCGGGTCCAGCCTTAGCTGAAGTCTTAAGTTTAGATGCTGCTCTAGAAATCGTATCTGTAGTGGCTTCGACCATGCTGAGTGTTTGGTTGACCAAAGGAACATTACTGGCCGCGGAAGTAATGAGATTTGTCTGAGAACAGGTTGCAAATGTCTTGTTGATTGCCATCCGTTTCACCATTAAAAATCACGGAAGAGGGTAAGCCGACTTCCCTGCGTTGCTCATTTACGAAGTTCCAGAAGGATTTCGGGTGTGATTTTAGCCGCCGTTGAATCCTCCTTTGATAGCGTTGAAAACAGAGACGACTTAACCGCTTATACTCGTGGTTGAGTCTGACATAGTACAATTCAGCGGCAGTGTGCGGAGTTCAGTAAATCTTCTTAAGAGCAGTCTTCGTAGTTCTTTTCAACGAGCGAAGATCTTTCGTCATTCACGGGACGCTAGAGTCGATTGACTTATGCCAAGACGTGAGAAAAGGTTTGTGCAGCAATGTTGACGTCTACAGGATCTAGAATATGCTCCCAATCTAGGTTAGACAGCACATGGACAATGCTGCGATGGTCTGCTGTACGGAAGTCATATGACACAGCGTTTGGAGTGCTGGTGAAATCATGGCCAATATTATTTTCGATCGCGATAACTAAGCAGGGTGATGATGCACTTCCTTGACTAAAGGTTCGTGTGCCGTGGAGAGGAAAGGAGCTGTATCATGAGCGCTCACAAGGCAGAGATCCAGGGTGCGGTTGTTTTCATTCAACAGCTGTCCAGGAGCTGGATGGTTCCTACTTGGAAAGATGAACGCTCGTGATCATCGGAACTTGTTCCAGCCATATCTCCGGAACTGGATGACCAATGGGACCATGATATCTTTCATTTGACAGTTGTTACGTTCAATTCGATTAGTTATTGCAGATAAACATCACTTAGTTCCTTAAATCCTTATTTTTCAGATCTTGTTCCGGCCATCCAATTCGGTTTAGTAGTTACCAAGAAACACGGCTTAGTTCCCAAAATATATGTTTTCCGGATTTTGTTCTTTCAATGTCTCATGAAGCAGTGGACCGATTCCAAAAATATTCTAGGGCGTTCATTGGGACTTTTTATTTAATGGTGAGAAGTGTAAATCGTTTTGTGGAATATGTAGTTTCACCATCCGGGATGTCTTTGGGTCATAATTATAATTCATTTATTGAGGTGGTTAAGCATAAAGTATTTTTCAACCAATTTTAATTTTTCATCCAATCATTGCTTCTGGGGCTAAAATCTATCTGAGAATAAGTGATGAACTACGGCCGGCCTCGTCCCAATGTACTGTCATCAGTTTCGTCTCATGATAGTGACAAAAACTGGTATGCCATTTCGGTTTAGCAGCATGAAAGACTTGATGCTAGATTTATGAGAGCCAATTGATCTTCAAGCATACTGTTCCGTAGAAAAACAGAATCCACTCCGCATGAGAACAGACGGTTTCCGATTTGGTAACAGCGATTAGATTTGTATTGTTTTGTGTAGATATACATACCTACACGTTAATGCGACGTCTGAAGAAGGTTGTGCTTTCCAACGGAAACACTGAAGCTAATGATCGGAACGTGTCTTTTGCAGGACCATTTCCTCCCGTAAAGCAGAGAGCAGTAATTACCGAAACTCCGATAAAGAATCGAACCTATTTACCCATGTCGAAGAAAGAGTAAAGTGTTGTGTGTGCAAACATTGCCTCAGAGTGTAATCTCTGGTTTTCGTGTGAGAGCATTTTGTAATAAATAATATTTGAAGATAATCGAAGTGAAGTTGAAGCCAGAGTAATAGGCGTAAAGTGGTTTAAGCAAACTAAAGCAGAGTACCTACCTAGAAAAAAAGGAAAAGAGTTTGAGTGAGCAAACAGTAGTGGCAAGGAAGAACAGCTCATTTGAACAAAGCCAGCAGCAGCAACCCCGCTCCGTGTATGGTCCGCCGTCGGTGGAAGAATCTGTCGAAGAAGACCCAGCAGGGGGTGGCACAAGGGTGCAAAAGCTGGCCTGAAGTGATTCGGAAAAAGAAAACAAAAAAATAATTATGAGTAATTTAAAATCTCACAGCGTTCCGCGATTCCTACTCTTGGCAGTCGCGGATCTCGCGAATCGTATCAATTGTGGCTTTTGTTGTTATTATTAAATGCGTGTAATAAAAGTCTAAAAAAGAAACCCCGATGCAAAACGGCAGCGACTGGACTGTGGAATATCAGCAGGAGGAGTGATTTTCTATTCAAATGTTTCAGCGCGAGTATGTGTGTGTTTCCTAGTATGTGTGACTCCCCATAGCGTGTGTTATTGCTATACTTCAAACAATTCAGTCCCAGTCCAGTAAAGCGGGGAAGCGTGGATCTAATAATTAAACTCAGTAACAGTACCGATCAGTTCAGTGAGCACGTCAAGTGCAAAACTTGTTGCGAATCGGTTCGTAACCGTTCGTAACTCTACTACACACAGAAACGGGATACCTTTGGAGCAGCAGTTAGGAGAGTGAGGCAGTGCAAAGTGATTGAATAAGTTTTTTTTCCACGTGGGATCGGACCTGAAGCAGCGGTGGCCATGGACGGCGTAAGGGCGTTGGACATTCTGCCACTGCTGCAGGAACGCTTCGCGTTGCTTTCCGGTGGCCGGGACAACCGGGGTGGACCCATTATCTGCTTCCCGGCGACGACCAAGCGGGAACGGGTCAAACCCGAGGATATCAAAAGGGTCATCAGCTATTTCATCGGAATACCAAGGTGAGTTTCGTATTTTAGAAAAATATAACTCCGGGGTGGGTTAACGATGGTCAGCTAATTGGATGAAACAATTAGACACAAATCCAAGGTTGAACAAAAGAAATCAGATGACTAAAATTGTTGCAATTAAAACAAAAAGATGATTTTTAAAAGATTGAATAGGGGGGCTTAAACATCATCACTAATGATACCAAGATTAGTGAAAATTTCGAATGATTTTCAACCAAATGGATAGTTCCAAGCCCCATGTACATCATGCATATACATTGAATATAAATGAATATAAAAAGGAAACTTTTGACTTGTAATTTTCGATTTGTAACCGAAATACAACCGGTGTCGGTAAAATGAACACCCTATCGTAGTTCGAGTGCTTTCGAAAATATTATAAATTAACAATATGGATCACTCTTCTATTATCCCAAGACACGATTTTTCCCGACACTCGCTGCACTAGTGAAACGAAAGGAAACTAGTACACAGCTCAATATCAACAAGGCTATAAAACAAAACGCACAGTTGAGTAAAATTTTACCCAGTGTTGTGAAAAATTACCTCTTTTAAATTATATTACACAGTTAGAAATAACTAATTTTACACGTGACGGAATCCGTCTTTGACATAAAACATGAGACGTAAACGAACATGTCATGTAATATTAAGTGCTCCGAGACTGAAAAATTCGTTGCTCGACGAAAAGTACGTTTGATTGAGCTATATTTCGCGTCTGTTATAGCTCACATTTATGTCAAAATTGACGCTCGTATATGTCACTCTGAGATCACCTAAATTTACATGATTTTTTCTAAGTGTGTAGGTTTGTTTTCGTATTTACTGTTTTGCGCGATGGGTGGTTCCGTCTACCAACCGCCATTTCTCAACAGTCTTTCAACAAATTGGGCTGATTTATAGCACGATGCACCTATCCCAAGTAACATTTTAAGTTTTAAAATAACTCGACAGTGAGCATGCATAAGAGCGTATACGCGATGATCGATTCTCTTCATCGACTTTCTCTGTACATTGCTACAGCTAAGAGCATCCGCACCAATGCGTTGCTGTTCGGGCTACTTTAGCCATTGCTATTTTAGTTAGCAACTTGTTTACGCACCGGTCGTTACTATCTCGATTGTGAATTTACGAATTTGAATCTTGGCCCAGCATGCGCACACTGGTGGTCCCGGAACTGTCCTCTGAGAGATCAGGAACATCCATAACAGTGGTCAATTCGTAAAAATGATCGAAATATCGATCTTCGTATGCTCCTCTTATAAAAGTTGCCACCAAAATGCATAAAGGCATTTTCGGATGCCCATCTGGATTACTAGATTACATATTTTAGCTTGTGAATATATAAATCTCGGTTGGTCAAATTTAATACGGTAGATTTATTAACATCAGAAAAAAATGTTGGAACTTTTAAGAAGTTCTGATTAATTGAAATTTGGGGAAGTTAAAAGGTCTTTAAGAGTAAGTTTCGACAGCTCCAATGCAATCAAATAGATTTCAGGAAAGTTTACTTCAGTGAAGATCAAGCGCTTCAGGGCAGTTCGATTAAATTCAGGAAAATTTAATGAGTAAGTTACGTGTACTTTGGGTAAGTTCTGAATATGGTAGGACAGTTCCAAAAATATCAGGAAAACTGTAAGAACTTTAGGAACGTTCCTAAAACTTTAGGTTAGTTTCGACAACTTGATGGAAGTTCCATTTATTTCAGCAAAATAGGGGAAACCATCAAGAAGTTCCGAACATTTAAGGATAGTAAAAAAGTTCAGGGAATAAACTTAAAAAAATATAAGAAAGCTACACAGAAGTTCCATGCTTAAAGGGAAGTTTAAAGATCTTCTGGGCAGTTCCATTAATTTCTGGATAATTCCAGGAACATCATCAGAAGAACATAAGGGAAGTTCCGTAAACTTCAGGAAGCATTAGAGATCTTCAGGAGAGTGTGAGGAATGAAAAAAAGTACTGAGAATTTCAGGGAAGTTTCATTGGCAAACTGCGGGAACAAAAGGGAAGTTGCGAAAACTTCTGAAAATTTTTGTGAAATTTAGGTAAACTTTAGGAACTTCAAAGTTAAAAGCTTCAGGAAACTGCAGGAACTTTTAAGACAATCTGAGAAATTCAGGGATATCTAGAGAACTTTGGAGAAGTTAAAATAATTTCAGAGATGTGGAGATAACTTGAGAAAATTGAAATTTTAAAGAACTTCCAAGTACTTAAAAGAAGTTAGACTAGAGAGTTTTAGGGAATTTACGAGATATTACCGCCACTTCCTATAACTTGATAACTTCGAGAAATTCAAGAAATTCCAGACTTTCAGGGAAGTTTGAAGATTTGTATGCGAGAATCTATTTGACAGGGTAGTACCAAGAACTTCAATAGAATTGAAAGTACTCCAGGAATGCTTCGTGAGCAGAAGGAATGATCAGAGAATCTAAGAGCAGTTCAACTAATTCCAAGGAAATTGAAGAATGTTTAAGAAGTTCCAAGAAACTCAAATAAGAAATATCCGAAACTTCATCACAGTACCAAGACCTTTATTTAAATTTCAGAAACATAAGAGATGTTACATGAGCATCAGGAAAATGTGAGATCATTTTGGTGCAGATCTGCTAAAAAATGCAGGAACTTCAGCAACGATCAGATGATGTTCAGAAATCTTCAAAAACGTCTAGAGACCTTCAGAGAAGTATATGGATTTGGTGGTTTCATTATATTTTGGGAAGTTCTCGGAACTTCGTAGATAATTAGAGATCTTTATATCAGTTTCCTTTATTTAAGGGAAATTGCAGAATATTTCAAGGAATTCAAAGGAATTATGGGATATTTCAAGAATTTCATGAATTTTGCGATGCTTCAGAAACAATGCGAGGTTTTCATGAAATTTTATAAATATGAATAAAATTTCCAGAACAATAGAAAAGTTAGTGAACTTCAGGAAAGATTCAAAACCTCAGGGAAGTCCAAGTTCAGAGACAATGAGAGAGAGAGAGATTTTTGACGAAGTGCCGTGAGCTTGAATGAAGTTTTAAAAACTTCAGAAAAATTGTAGGAACCTAAAGGAAGATCAAGGAACTTCAAGGTAATTCAATTAACTTCAGTATAACTGCGGGAAGTTTTAAAAAGATAATTAGAAACTTTAAGAAGTCTACAACGTAAGAGCTCCATCTTTTTTTATGAATTGATCACTTTTACGCATGGTCCGGACCTCCCCAAAGACCGGTTCGTGGCCAGCAGAGTGCGAATGCTGGTCCCAGTTCAAAATTCATTAATGTAGCATCAAAATAAATGATTTTAAAAAATACGGAGCTCTATGGTCTTTCTACGAATTGGCCATCTTTACGGATGTTCCGGGTCTTCCAGAGGAATGCTTTGCTGTCCCTTGGGTCCACATTTTTGTCCCAGATCCAAATTCATTCATATATCACAATGTTCAAATGAAAAACAAAACAAACATTTCACAGATAGCAACGGTTAGGTCGGTTGCTATCGCGCTGCTATATTTGTCAACCCGCTGTTCACCGAGAGGCAGCTTGTTATTTCCCGCACTTGAATAGCAACCCCCAGTGCAGTTACTGCGTTATGGTGAGGTTGCTAAAATAGCTTTAGCAACGCATTGGTGCGGGTGCTCTAAGCAAAACAACCTAGTGATATTTAAAATGTAAATTCAAACATTACTGATTTTGGCTCCGCAAAGTGTCACATACGACTGAGCCTAGTAAATAAACAAACTTATTAAAAAAAAACTGCACATCTAAATCTGTGCCGAGTTCTTTATCTGTGCCAAAAGCTGGGTCTTGCACTGTGCTGAACGTGCTGAAGTATGGCAATCAGTCTCAGATCCCATGAGTTTGGCGTCCCTGTAGTGATGACTTTTGAGATTTATTTGTTTACAGTTTCAAGTTCTCGCAGATGAAAAACGGAAAAAATTGAAAACATAAATTTAAATATTAAACGACTCGTTGCCATTCATCCGCTTCAAGGAAGTTACATTCTAGCGGCGCCGGTGGTGTAGTGGTAAACTTGATTACCACTCACCCCAGCAGGCCTGGGTTCAATACCAGTCGGCGCCGCTAGGATTTTCTGAGGCATAAGATCTCTGATCACGCCTTCCTTCGGAAGGGAAGTAAAGCCGTTGGTCCCCGGTTCATGAGTTGATGGGTCGATAGGTAGGGTCCAGGTATGGGAGTTGCCTTACTGGCGTCAGTAGCATTGGTGCTCAGCACGGAAAACAAGATCGACGGAAAAAAAGATCAAGGAAAAAAAAAGGAAGTTACACTTGAAGTTCAGCCCCTCTGTTAGAAGGAGAAGTGTGACTGATGACATAAGCTGGAGCAGGAGAAGAAAGTTATTAACTGTGCGTCGTTCAGGCAGACGTTTGCTGAAACCAAGTACCCAGCCGGCACGTGGAAGATTCGCTGTATTATCACCATGCTACTCGGGCAATGCTACAATCTAGACCTGCAGTAGCTTCCCAGTGCCAGCAGTCGTGGTTGGGTACTGCATTTGTCGGAACTGACTTCACCTTTTTTATGGTGCAGTAAAACTACTTCGTCCACGGTTTAAACCTTGTGAACAGGAGACCCATGAAACCGCAGAGGTTGGTCATTTACGAAAAAAACCTGTGTAGGTCCCCTTCTTTCTCATCATGACTCTCAAATTTTTACTTCTAATACGTTTATCCACATCTTCCATCGAATAATTTCCAACAGCATCCAAATGTCGGTCCAGGATCTCCATACTGGTTGCAGTCGTTTGATGACTACCTACTTGTATCTGCTTGTTGTTCCTTCATATTTTGGATCCTTGCTTGGTTATGCCGGAATCGCATATTAATACCTCCCTGAAACTGCTGGCGGTTCCGATTGCCTTCAATAATACCTTGCATCAGATTGTCTCCGTTACCTCCGGTGTGGTTACCTTTACAAGTCTGTTAGCAGCATGTTTTTTAATACTGTTAATGAACGTAAAGCGACTGCGAACCAGTATACGGGATC